GTTTTTTTTTTTTTTTTTTTTTAATGCTTTGCAACATATTGAGAAAAGTTAGGCACAAGGCAGCATATATAAACTTTTTGCCTACGTTGGAGATCATAGTTGGCAATAGGCTGTGTGGGATTATGGTGGCTTTCCACAGAGAATGCGTACTCGTTTTCAGCCGAGGAGAATTGATTGACTAACAAAGGTTTGACAAATCAAACCAGAATGTAGAAATCACAATACGCCTTAAAAATCAAACACCTGTATAGCTCCCTAGTCAATCTTTGACTTTCTTCTACCTCCTGTTGTCTATAAATACCCAATTTTTTCTCTCCCATATCCATCAATCCATAGACCTACAAATCTATAACTGTATATTTACAAGTTTTTCCTAGAGAGAGAGAGAGCCAGATTCTAGACAGAAAAAGATGGAATTTCTTCAGTTTTCCCTAGCTCTTTGCTCGGCAATGGCTGTCTTTGTTCTCTTCATGTTGTGGAGGTTTTTATACTCTTGCTGGGTTTTGCCTAACCAGGCCTACCAGAAGCTTAGGAGGAATGGATTTAGTGGTCCAACTCCAAGTTTTCCTCTAGGAAATATTGCTGATATGAAGAAGAGTCTCCGCTCTTCTTCTTCATCTTCTTCTTTAAGCATCAGACATGATATCCATTCAAGAGTATTTCCATACTTTTCTCTGTGGCAGAAACTGCATGGTAAGCTCTCACAACTGTTAAAAAGTTTTCGCATTATTCACTAAACCAGAGAATATTGTTAATACCTGAGCAAGAATGCTCAAGTTGTATGAGAACATGATTCTCTTAACTTCTTAAGACTTATGAGTTAATGGGCATTGTGTTTGAGTCACGGAAATAGTCCTCGCATATATGTAAAATGACGTATATTTTATCCTTCCCAGATCCCTATTGAGGGAACCTCCTCAACTACCTTGTTTGATGCTTACAAGTCCGCAGATAGGGGAAGCACCGAATGCACGTATATGTTTTAGGAAATATTCGCCTGAGACTTTTTTTTTCTTCTGTTTTTTTGCAGGGAAGGTGTTTATTTATTGGTTGGGGACAGAGCCATTTCTATACATTGCAGACCCTGAGTTTCTAAGGAAGATTTCCGCTGGTGTTATGGGCAAGAGTTGGGGAAAGCCCACTGTGTTTAAAAATGATAGAAAACCCANGAAGAGACAATGGGCATATATAATCCATCACCCCATAGACCTTCCTAATGAAACCCTAGTATGAATACAAACTTCTCCAACCACGTCTTAACCAACAATTCAAGAGATCAAAATGGTAATTTCGGAGAAACTTTAGGTATGTCTTGGGAATCGGAATATAATTCGAAATAATTTTTTACATTATGTTGTATATCTAATTTTTTAATCAATCAAACCGATTTAAAAGATCTATAATGATTAATGTAAGTGAAATTCTAGATTCTTATCAGATGTGACACAAACATACCACACAACAATGGTCAAAGGCGCAAAAGTTTAAGGAATAGCTTCTTCAAATTCAAGGGATACGCCTAATTTAACTTTCTTAATCCTCAAGTTATCCTCCTCCACTACCTTAATGGTCGTCATTGTCAATTTAACCTTTTCCATATTTCATTCACTTTTTAATTTTTGAAGTATAGTCATACTCTATCTTTATTCCTAATAATATTATTTCAAACTTGACCAACAGGCTATGTCAAGCATGATGGTGGAATCAATCACAAACATGCTCGATCGGTGGACGGCCCTAATCACCTCTGGAAAGCCCGAAATCGACGTGGAGACAGAAATCACGAGCACAGCCGGAGAGATCATAGCGAAGACGAGCTTCGGAATGAGCTGCGAAAAAGGGAAAGAAGTGTTCGAAAAACTAAGAGCCATGCAAATGGCACTTTTCAAATACACCCGTTACGTGGGTGTGCCCTTTAGCAATTTCATGTGTCCTTATCAAAATTCAGAGGCTAAAAAGCTTGGGAAAGAGATTGATGCTATGCTATTATCAATTATAACGTCAAGAAAATCAAATGTAGGGCAGCCCCAGAAGGACCTTCTTAGCTTGTTAATGGCGGAAAGCCAGGTGGGTGGGTCGTCGGAGAAGAAGTTGACGACGAGTGAGCTGGTGGATGAGTGTAAAACTTTCTTCTTCGCAGGCCATGAGACCACTGCTTTGGCTTTGACGTGGACGTTGCTACTCTTGGCCATGCACACTGAGTGGCAGAATCAGCTGAGAGAAGAGGTCAAAGAAGTGATTGGAGATGGAGAGATTGATGCCACCATGCTTGCAAGACTAAAGAAGGTACACAAATTTAAAATTTTAATTTGTTGACGAAATTGTTATATTTATCATTAATTTAATCATTACCAAAAGTAAAAAAAAAATGACCTAATGGTTCTTGCCTTTCCTACTTTGCTTCCTAGTGCAAGGTTTAATTCTCACTTCGAGTTGAACCCAAATTAAATTTTCGGGCTTTACTTGAGTTCTAGTTTAATTCGAATTAATCCTGAATTCAATCATTTAACCTTGGTTCTGAGAACTTGAGTGTTTACTGCATTTAAACCTGCTTAAAATATATTTTTACCCAATTGTTATACTAAACATTTTGAATGAGTGACTAGTCTATAATCTATATATCTAAGATTCTTTGTAAGATTCAATGGTCATAACGTAAAATTCAAAATGGTGGGCTACTCCACGTGTCGAAGAGAGTGAGGATAAGAGATTGCCATGGCATGGTCCACCATGATCTTGCTGACATAGTTATGTAAAGATCAACGTGGCAATACCCCGCCAGAGCCCAGTTGATTTGACTGTCCACACGGCCATGGGATACGATGTGGTTTGGCCAGGGGAGCACATACATATATTCTTTTGGCTCAATGTGNGCATAGTTATGTAAAGATCAACGTGGCAATACCCCGCCAGAGCCCAGTTGATTTGACTGTCCACACGGCCATAGGATACGATGTGGTTTGGCCAGGGGAGCACATACATATATTCTTTTGGCTCAATGTGTTATATAACCGACCAAAGCTTTCTCTGTCCAACTTTGCAACGAGGTCTAATCTGACATGCATGCAAAATTGCATGAATAACTTGTATTTTAACGACTATTTTTACAATTTTTTTGAGACATTTTGTAATCAAAAATTTATTTATTTTTTGTTGGTGTTTTTACTACTGTTGCGAGTGTTTTTATCATTTCCTTTTCAGTACTATAACATTAATAAAAATACCCAGTGCAGTGATAAAAATATTCACAAATATAATAAATTGAGATATAATTCATGTTATATTCATATATTAAGAATTCAAATCCACTACATTAGACTTTTATCCGTTGATAAANTGAGTGTTTTTATCATTTCATTTTCAGTACTATAACAATAATAAAAATACCCAGTGCAGTGATAAAAATATTCACAAATATAATAAATTGAGATATAATTCATGCTATATTCATATATTAAGAATTCAAATCCACTACATTAGACTTTTATCCGTTGATAAATCAATAACTATATATAAGTCGGGGGTTAATTTATAAAATTTGGGTACCACATGGATCACTTCAAGTTTTTTCATGCTCTGTATAAGGTGGGTAATCGTTAAATTTAAGTGTAACGAAGATAACTATAACCACCACCATGATTAGTTATTTTCTTTGCTTTTGCATGTATTTGAATCATATTGGTTCTAAATGTCTGAAAATTGTCTAAATGCAGATGGGATGGGTAATGAATGAGGNCGTATAAGGTGGGTTAATCGTTAAATTTAAGTGTAACGAAGATAACTCTAACCACCACTATGATTAGTTATTTTCTTTGCTTTTGCATGTATTTGAATCATGTTGGTTCTAAATGTCTGAAAATTGTCTAAATGCAGATGGGATGGGTAATGAATGAGGTTCTACGGTTATACTCACCGGCACCAAACGTACAACGGCAAGCAAGAGAAGACATCCGAGTGGACGGGGCGGTGATCCCCAGTGGCACAAACATGTGGATCGACCTCGTTTCAATGAACCACGACCGATCACTTTGGGGCGACGACGTTTATGAGTTCAAGCCAGAGAGGTTCAAGGATGACTCGTTGTATGGAGGATGCAAGCACAAGATGGGGTTTTTGCCTTTTGGGTTTGGAGGGAGAATGTGTGTGGGAAGAAACTTGAGCATGTTGGAGTACAAGATTGTTTTAACTCTTATTGTCACTAGGTTTTCGTTTTCCCTGTCGCCAAACTACTGCCATTCTCCCTCTATCATGTTGTCTCTCAGGCCTACCCAAGGCCTGCCTNCTCACAAGGTTTTCGTTTTCCCTGTCGCCAAACTACTGCCATTCTCCCTCTATCATGTTGTCTCTCAGGCCTACCCAAGGCCTGCCTCTTATATTTCAACAACTTTAGTTTTCTAACCATTTAAAGCTACGGATATATTTTGTTGATGTAGTTACTTTGTATTAGAGGAATGTTATCTATTTGGATTCTCTCTATCTCTCTCTCTCAAAAGTTAAGTAATACAAACTAGAACAATTATATACTACTTCTAAATGTCAAAAAATATTAAAATTTTTTGAATTCTTATAAGTGCAATGCTTTTTGAACATATTTTGTTGATCTAATTCACTATAATCATCGGATTGTCTATGAGTCCGATCAAACATTAAAATTTTGTGTTAATTCAACGGTTACAATTAATTANCTACAAACTAGAACAATTATATACTACTTCTAAATGTCAAAAAGTATTAAAATTTTTTGAATTCTTATAAGTGGAATGCTTTTTGAACATATTTTGTTGATCTAATTCACTATAGTCATCGGATTGCCTATGAGTCCGATCAAACATTAAAATTTTGTGTTAATTCAACGGTTACAATTAATTACATCATTAGGTCAATAAATTAGATCAAATTTTTAATTTTCAATAGCATTACTCTTCTTATAACACCCTTGAAAAATGGATAAAATTCAACTTTACTCACTGTTTAATAACTCTATATATAACATATTCTCCACCTTTTCCTATCTCCACTCTACGACCTCAATTAAAAAACTAGGGACAAAGGGACTTGTAGCTAAAACTATTATATCTGTTTTAGAATACATTTGTTTCTCATAAATGTGTGTGGAAACCTAAGTACGTCATNTAGTATTATTTATAACATATAACATATTCTCCACCTTTTCCTATCTCCACTCTACTACCTCAATTAAAAAACTAGGGACAAAGGGACTTGTAGCTAAAACTATTATATCTGTTTTAGAATACATTTGTTTCTCATAAATGTGTGTGGAAACCTAAGTACGTCATTTCACCAAGCGGTCATTCCTGCACTGAAAGGNATATAACATATTCTCCACCTTTTCCTATCTCCACTCTACGACCTCAATTAAAAAACTAGGGACAAAGGGACTTGTAGCTAAAACTATTATATCTGTTTTAGAATACATTTGTTTCTCATAAATGTGTGTGGAAACCTAAGTACGTCATTTCACCAAGCGGTCATTCCTGCACTGAAAGGAGGGAAGCATCCAATTCCATGCCTCCCCCCTATTGAATGGAGTTGCCCTACTATTAACTTTTTTTGAAAGAAGTCCTTCTCTAACAAATTTACCAAGGAAAGATGCCACAAACCGGATTCTATAACCTATTACATTCATGTTACTTCCCTTAATCCCAGAAGTGACGGAACTCTCTTCCCTTTCGAAAAGAGGTAAATCGACTGGGGATCTTAGCAGCATTGCTTATTCCTCCAATGTCGCCGCCTTCTTAAATAGGAAATAAAGAAAGAACGACAAGTCTTTTTTCATAGCTCTTAACTTTTAGGTCCAAATGGTCTTTGTGGAAAGTGGATGGGACATAACTCATAGATAAAAGTGAAGTTCATTATGTGAAATTTGAATGAAATTTGACCCCCTTAGAGATGGTTGCTCTTCTTCTCTATTTAGAAGACCTGTCATCTCCATTCTTTTGGGTGTAATTGTTTTGGGGTTTGTTAATAGAAATAGTTATTTCATTTGTGTTACAAGTGCACTATTCTACCAGTACTAAATAAACTCCAAATGAAAAGTGAAGGTCGGGATACTCACAAGATTCAGTTGTTCCTTTATTACTCTGCAAACTTGCAATTCTATTTTGTCATCTCATTTCATTTTTTCTCTTAAAATACTATGTCCATATCTTTTTTTCTTAGTATTTGACGGGACTTTAGACGGCTTAACAGCCGTAAATTGACACATGGACCGTTGTAACCATTGAGGAGCGCAAAGGGCGCCTGGGGGAGGCACTAAGGAGTTATAACCTGGAGGGCCGAGTACACCTCTCAAAGCCTAACATTAAAGGGGATATGACAACTCATTAATGGAGTCTTAAATGGTTGTGAGATTCATTAATGAGCATCTACGTCCTCGAGAAATNAAAACCTAACATTAAAGGGGATATGACAGCTCATTAATGGAGTCTTAAATGGTTGTGAGATTCATTAATGAGCATCTACGTCCTCGNCAAAGCCTAACATTAAAGGGGATATGACAACTCATTAATGGAGTCTTAAATGGTTGTGAGATTCATTAATGAGCATCTACGTCCTCGAGAAATAAGAAGATAGTCATCATTAGAAGACATTAATTATCATTACGCTGACTTAATGTCCTCAACGGACCTCGGGATGCTTATTCCAATGCAGTGAACACTCGGGCGTATGTGTTAAGCATTGAACAAAGGTATTTAATGATCGGGGGTTGGGCCATGAATGCACGGAGGTTCCCGAGCAAAGGTCCAATCGCCTGAAGGGATTAGTCTTGAGGAGATTTGATGGGATGACACTCATTATGTTTGGATACAAGTACAAGCTATTAAATTTTGAGATGGGACTCAAAGATCCTTCTATCATTGCCAGTCTAGGTATAAATACCCCCTAAGAAGCTATACTATGGTACATAATTGAAATCCAAAAAATACACTATGCTTATGACTTCAATGCCGACTGACTTGAGCTTCGAAAGGGATTAGCCGAGTGTAAACCCGACCCCTTTCCTAATCCTTTGATTGTTTCAGATTCATCATCCAACGGATCGCTATCTCAACTCATTGCAAGAAATAACTCGTGTAATTTGGTGCCGTTTGTGGGAATCAAAAGACTAGTTTTTCCTGTCGCGATAGTGTAATGGTGAACACACGATCCCAAGGTAAGGTGGGGGATAGCCTACGCGTGAGAAATACGGAAGCTAGCTGGCTCCCAATAGTCACTGAATAACCTCCTTCAACCAGTCAGATGGATCTGAGCGTATCTAGCAATTAACGTTACCGGTGGTGGATAAGGCGTCTTGGCTAGGGAAATCATTGAGTTGACGGAAAAAAAGGATAGGAAGCCATTTGAAGCGACTTGAGAAAGACAACGCCAACGTGCAGACTCGGCTCAATAACTTCGAGCGATCAAAGGAAACTAGCTGGCAAAACAGCAAGTGTGGAGACTAGAGTAACGACTAAAGTGATTCCCGGGGCGCAAGGCAAAAAGCCTAGGGGAGAAGCTTGCATGAGCGCCTGGGTGAGAAGCGAGGGCATCGAAATTACGAAGAGTGTGCCCCCGAGGAAAGATCCAAAGAGAGCAAGAGGCATAGGTTTAATCTGTCCAGGGGGATCTCCACCACTGACACTCAAGAGGAACGAAGGCGGCAAAATCCCACACGGACTCAACGACAAAGGGGCCTAGGAGTAAGAGGCCCCAGGAGGACCTCCGTTTATGCCTGGATGCCAAGTGCCGAAGGCCCCTCCAAATGGAGGATGATGACACCGAAGACGAGCAGATCGTCTCACCATTCGTTTGAGCTATCAGGGAGATCAAGATGCCGAAGAAGTTTACTGTCTCCCGCTTCAAGGTTTACGATGGAAGGACAAACCTCGATGGTCATTTGCGGTAATATAAACAACTAATGTCTATTTATGACACTGACCAGAGATTGTTGTGTAGAGTGTTCCCCATGAGCTTAGGAGACACTGTTATGCATGGTACGAAAGTTTGGCCCCAAAAAATGTTTAGTCTTGGAAATAGATGTCCGAGCTATTTGTTGCTCGATTTATCACCAGCAACAATTGGGTACCACAATGGAAGTATATATTGATGACATGTTTGTAAAGAGCAAGATGAAAGTCGACCATCTTCGGGATCGTGGGTCACATTTGTCGTGTTCCAAAAGTACAGCCTGAAGCTCAACACTTCGAAGTGTGTATTTGGGGTAAGTTCGGGCAAATTCTTGGGATATCTGGTCACTCACCATGACATAGAGATCAATCCCAATCAAGTGCAGATTGTGCAAGATATATAGAGGTCAAAGACCGTCAAGGACATACAAAGTTAACTGAGATGCTGACGGCTCTCAACCGATTTATCTCCAAGTCCTTGAACAGGTGTAAGTCGTTCTTCACCATGCTTAAGGGGGTAGCGAAGGGATCATGGGGTGAAGAATGTGATCGGGCGCCGGAGGGAATCAAGGAATCAAGAATGCGATTAGATTATTTTTGAATTTTTTTTGGGTGCAATTGGTAATACTTGTTATTTTTTATTGGTCACTTATTTTTTTTATTAGTGATTAGATTGGACTTTGATTTTTTTTNTTTATTAGTGATAAGATTGGACTTTGATTTTTTTTTTTTAAAACTATATGTTTCATACAGTAGTGATTTATTTTCATATGAATAATAACTTGATGATTTTATATATGGATTGTATATTTATACTTTTTATTTGTGTGGAAGTGTTGATGGCGATTAGATTAGTTTTGAATATTTTTTTTAAAGAAATTTGTTTCACTTATTTTTTTTATTGGTAATTAACTTAACTATGAATTTTTTTTTATTTTTTTGGTGCAATTATTTTTTTTTTATTGGTGATTAGTTTGAGGTTTTGTTTTTTTTTTTTGGGGGGAAGGGGGGGAAGGAGGAGATAAATTAGTGCATTCATTTATTGGTGATTAGTTTAGACTTTGAATTTTTTTTTTAATTCTGAGAACTATATGCTTCCACGTACTAGTACTTTTTGTGTGCATGGAAATGGTGATGGCGATTAGAATGGTTTCGAATATTATTCTTTTGGTAGAATTGGTGGAATTTTTTTTTATTGGTAATTATAACTTGGGCTTTGTTTTTTTTTGGAAGGGGGGGGGGGAGTGGGATGGGGACATACATTAGTTCATTTATTAATGATTGTGGTTATTAAATTGTCAATGGATCCCAATGTTAAAGTATCACTCGGTCCTAACACTATCCATCCAATGATCATAATGCATTAAGTTCCTAAATTATGTCTCTAAATGAAGTCTCAATAGCATTTGTGATACTTCACTACTTGAGAGTAAGAGAGAGAGAGAGATTAGCCGAAAGAGGATGCGTGTGTGTGTAAAAGAGAGAGAGAGAGAGAGATAGAGAAATAAGGAAAGGGTCTGTCAAATTCAAAAACCAGCATCCAACATTCTCTATTTGGTTAGGAGAGTCCATCATTAGGAGATTCCTACCGGTGGGGGATGAGAGATTTGGTTAGGATAGTCCTATTGAATTTTGAAAAATTGATGGGCGGAAAATAAATTTAGGTGAATCAACAATTTTAAAATGATTTAAACCGCAAAAAATGCGAGACGAATTAATTTAAGTCTCTTATTATTCAACTCCGATTAAACCCAAATTCACTCATTCTATTTGAGTCTAGAAAACTCGAGTATTATCCACATTAAATCAATTGCAACCTGAGTATTAAAAAATTTCAATTTACATACAAAATATTTTTAGATTTAATTTAAGTTAAATTGGGATTAAGTCGCTCAAATTACATCTCAGCCTCCCTCTTTTGGCATCTATTGGGACTAGAGTTCTCACACAAATACTCTAATTTCGACATGGATGACCAATTTTTTATCGGATCGAAAAGAGAATTAATCAATGTGCACATTAATTAATTTAAACACTCTTAATCATTGAAAAAAATAAACAAAGATATGTGATGTAGTCCATATATACCTAGGATTGATTCAAGTCACGTATAAAGAAAGATAAATGTGACAACACTCCCATGCCCAATTGATTTTCCAAATATGGCAAAATGAAAATGATATGGTCCCACACGGACAAATGACCCTTTCTTAGCCTAAGTGGGTTAGCCAGTCGAGCACAAAAATTTTTTGGGCTATTTAACGCTGATAACCGACCAAAGCTTTCAACGTAGTCTATCAACCTACCCTGGTCTATTCTGACGCGTGCACGCAAAACTTTTGCAATGCGTTGCATCTATTGAGTAGCTAGCTAGCAATGCATTCAACGTGTTGTGTTGTGTTGTGTTGTGTTGTGTTGCATTACTAGTATTTTTTTCTCTCCCAATTAAATCTATTGAAAATAGGTTTTTCATAATTAAAATTTTTATTTATCTAAATCCTAATAAAATCAAATCAAGAATTATTTAATTTTCAGAAAAAATGCATATAATATTAGATTAAAAAAAATCAGATTTTTTCAATACTAGTTAAATGTGTTTTTAATGTCCAACACTAATNCAAACTCAAATCAAGAATTATTTTATTTTCAGAAAAAATGCATATAATATTAGATTAAAAAAATCAGATTTTTTCAATACTAGTTAAATGTGTTTTTAATGTCCAACACTAATCTAATATATTGAAGCCATCCTTTTAGGTCCCAAAATTTTAGAGCCCCATTTTAAGGAGGATTAAAAAAGTTTAATGTTATTTTTAGAATTTTAAATAACTTTTTTAGATTAATATTTAATTAATTCTAATTTTGTATTTAGTACCCCAAATAAAGTTTTTAGACACAGGTTCCATTACGACTAATTTTATTTTTATGCCCCGAATAAAATTTTTAAAGCTCATGTTCAAATAAATTTACTTTTATTTTTGGGGCCCCCAAAAATAATTTGAGAATTAAATCAATTAAACCCAAATTTATTTTTAAAGCCTCAAATAAAATTTCTATGCTCATTTTCCATCAAACCCAAATTGATTTTTTTACGGCTTCTAAGAATTGGTATGCAAAAAAATTTAGTATCACCTTAGTGTAAGGGTCTTAAACACACGTTAACAATACTTGAATGTCAAAATCTAATAAATACGTTTGATCAAAAGGCAATAATATAAAAAATATTGTATAATGATTTAAAATTTAAAATTTATATTAAAATTAATAGGGTCTCATTTAAATTTTTGTTTCAAGCCTCGTTATGTGTGGGCCTACCCTTCCCCCCCTCCCCCACCCACCCCACCCAAACCAACCCAATGGGAAGTACGATGTACAAGAACAAGAATGTTGAACTCACCAATATTATTTTTACCAACTCAACAGAAATTGTTAAATTTGTGGATCTTAATGGTTTTCGATTGAAAAAAAGGTGAGTGTCAATATTGTAATTAATATATATATATACTATTTATTGCTTGTGACTGAAGTCAATGAGTAATAAAAAATAAAAAATATATTTGTATCCATATCCAAAATCAAATTACAAACATAGAAAAGAGAAAAAATAATTTAAACATCGGTTTGTAGTAAGGGTAAGAGGTGGTGGGCGGCAATAGTGGTGGTAAGAGACAGTGATGGTTGTGGTGGATGGCCATGACCATGGTGTTGGANATTACCCCTGCATTTTCTCCTGCAAATTTGAAGGTATCTGTGTGTGTGTGTGTGTGTGTGTGTATAGGGGGGGCTGGCAAAGAGAAGAGACAATCAGCATATATAATCCATCACCCCATACCCATAGACCTTGGTAATTGAACCCTAGAATGAATACCAACTAATCAAACCATATCTTAACCAACATAAAAGTTTAAGGAATAGGTNGCCATGACCATGGTGTTGGAGGCGACAATGATAATTGTGGTGGGTGGCAATGACCATGGTGGTGGTGGAGATGAGGGCAGGTGCGATGGCGGTGACGATGACACGATGATGGTGGTGGCGGTGATGGTGGAGGTGGAGGTGGCGGTGGCAGCAACGACGACGACGATGGTGGCGGCGATGGTGGTGGTGGTGGCGGTAGCGGTGGTGGGGGTAGGTGTGGGGGTGGTTGAAGTAGTGGTGAGACGGTTTCAAACACTATTTTTTTAAAAATATTTATGAGATAATTTCTAAAAGTACTTTTAAAAAATCATTCTAAACACACATTTAGGAGCCCTATTTTTCATATTAAATTTATGATATTAATATTAGCAGTTAGATTAATTTTAAAGTAAAATTTAAAGTGATCTCAACCCCCGAATAACAAAAGTCATTTTATTTATCTTTTGAGATTTGAATTGTAAGTTATTTTATTATATACTAGTTATTGTCTGTGTCTGAAGGCACAAAATAATAAAAAATACTAAAGAATAAACATAGTTGTATTCATATTCAAAATTAAATCACAAACATAGAGAAAAGATAAAAGTATTTAACCATCGATTTGAAGTGGGGGTGAGAGGTGGTGTGCGATAGTGGTGGTGGTAGAAGATGATGATGGTTGTGGTGGGTGACAATGACCGTAATGGTGGTGGTGGTGGCAATGGTAGTCATGGTGGTGGTGGTGGTGGTGGCAGTGGTGGCGACGCTGGGGGTGGCGTTGATGGCAGCAATGGTGGTGGCAACGGCGGTGGGGGTGGTGGTGGGGCGGTTTTAAACACTATTTTTTTTTTAAAGTATTTATGAGAAATAATTTCTAAAAGTAATTATAAAAGTCAATCCAAATACACTATTAGGGGTCTATTTTTTTTATTAAATTTAAGGTGTTAATATTATCCGTTAGATTAACTTTAAAATAAAATTTAAAGCGATCTCAATCGCGAATAACAAAAGTCATTTTGTTTATATTTGGAGATTTGAATTGTAAGCTATTTTATTTTATATATATATTATTTGCTGTTATTTAATATCAATCGATCGTCAGGCTTCGCAAAGGCTGATTGAGGTAGTGGTACCTTTCTGAAAAACTTGACTTTTGCCGACCAAGATCCACAATAAATCTAAGACTAATCGAAATCTTCTAAAGTCATAATATTAAAGTGGGCTATCAAGAGCTCTTCCTCTTTCCCTTCTTCTAAAAAATTAATATATATATATATATATATATATATATANAATTACACAAAATTAAAATATCTTTATTCAATACGCATCTAAACAAAAAAAAATATGAAAGATACTTAGCATACACTTAATCTATTAAACATTTATTGAAAAACATATATAAGAGTAAATTTAGAAGAAAAAATATTAATTATGTTTTAATTTTATTGAACGACAGATATTGTGGAACAAAAAAATTGTATAAAACGATAGATATTTAGCAGTAGAGAAAATATTTTTTTTTAGCTTAATGTGTTGTTTAACCGACCAAAGCTTTCTCTTTCCAACTTTCTAATGAGGTCTAATCTGACATGCATGCAAAATTGCATGAATAACTTGCATTTTAATGGTGTATAAAATTTACTATTTTAATAGATATTTTTATAATTTTTGTAAATTATTTTACAACTAAAATTTTTATTTTTTTTTTGTTGTTTTTATCACAATTGTAAGAAACTATAGTAAAAACTTTTTTTTTTCAATTTTTTTCGGTACCATAACTATAATAAAAAGATGGTAAAACTACTCACAAATGTTATAAATGAAAATATGGTACCGAATTTTTTTTTTTTTTCATGGGTACCAAAGACAACTCCCTAATTTAGTAATTATTTGTCTCATTTTCTAAATTCATGTTATATTCATATATTAAGAATTCAAATCCACTTCATTAGACTTGTATCCAATGATCTACCTATAAGTCGGGGTTCTATTTATAAAGAGTAATACTATATTTATCAAATTTTGAGATCAAATTTGAAGTTCAAAAGACATAACAGTTGATTATTTGAAGCTTTTATTAGGGCTCAAATGACATTACACCAATCAAAGAAGCCTAAATCAACTGCCATGTCATTTGAGCTCTAAATTTAATCTCAAAATTTGATCAGTCTATCATTATTGATTTATAAAACTTGGGTCAAACTTGGATAAATTCAAGTTTTTGCCAGCTCTATATAAGGTGGGTAATTCCTGGTGGTTCTAAATGTCTAAAATTTGTCTAAATGCAGATGGGATGGGTAATGAATGAGGTTCTACGGCTATACTCACCGGCACCAAACGTACAACGGTAAGCAAGAGAAGACATCCAAGTGGACGGGGCGGTGATCCCCAGTGGCACAAACATGTGGATCGACGTGGTTTCGATGAACCACGACCGAGAACTTTGGGGCGACGACGTTTATGAGTTCAAGCCAGAGAGGTTCAAGGATGACTCATTGTATGGTGGATGCAAGCACAAGATGGGGTTTTTGCCTTTTGGGTTTGGAGGGAGAATGTGTGTGGGAAGAAACTTGAGCATGTTGGAGTACAAGATTGTTTTAACTCTTATTGTCACTAGGTTTTCGTTTTCCCTGTCCCCAAACTACTGCCATTCTCCCTCTATCATGTTGTCTCTCAGGCCTACCCAAGGCCTACCTCTTATATTTCAACAACTGTAGTTTTCTAACCATTTGGATGTAGTTACTTTGTATTAGAGGAATATTATCTATTTGGATGCTCTCTCTCTCTCTCTCTCTCTCCCAAAAAACAATTAAATTAGGAAAAACTAAAACAATATATATATTGTAATACCCTTGAAAATGGATAAAATTCAACACTACCCATTGTTTAATAACTCTATTAGTATTATTTATAACATATAGGGCACCCCAGAACAAAAAAAAATGTAGGGCAGCCCCAGAACAACCTTCTGAGCTTATTAATGGCGGAGAACCAGGTGGGTGGGTTGTCGGATAAAATAAAAAATGATTGAACATGTGCTAGAAATGAATGATGTAATATTTTTAGGAGAAAAAATATGTAAAGAATAAAAATTTAAATTATTATATGTTTTATTAAATAAATATAAGGTCATATTGATTCTAGTTCAACTCCAATTAAACCCATATTTACTCATTCTTTTTAAGCCTTCCAAACTCGAGTATTATCCACATTAAATCAATTTAAGACTTTGCTAATCAATTTCAACTTGAGTAATAAAAATTTCTATGCACATAAAAAATATTTTTAAATTTAATATAAACTAAGTTCAGATTAAATCGCTCAAATTACACCTCAACCTCTCTCTTATGGTATGTATGATATGTAACTAGTTTAATCATAAGGATAGCTCAAGTGATAACAGAAATGATCTATAAACTCAAATGTTTTATATCTCAATTTTGGCAATTACTTGGGGTCAGATCATAAGAGATTTATTCAATTATCCATCATCCCTCATGAATACTTTAGTCCAGACCCAAAAAAAAAATGAATATCCTAATCTTGACGTAGATGTTCTGTCTTTGATCAAACAAAAAAGGATATTAATTGAAGTGCTCATAAACTGATCAAAAAACCCCTAACCATTGAAACAAAAAAAAAAGATACGAGGGCTATCAAAGTCCGACACAACACGATTAACCGACACAAATCAACACGAATTAAACAAGTCTTAACAGATTCGAATGGTAAACGGGTTAACTCACCAGACACATTTAATAAACGAGTTGTGTTTGGGTGAAACTTGTTAACCCATTTATTACTCGTTTAAATAAAATTTAGATAACAATAAATTAAAAAAAAATTAGCCATAATAATATATATTTTTTCTAAAAATTACTTTCCCTCATATGTCTTCGATGTTAAACAAATGGGACTTAAATGGGTCTAATGGATGAGATACCGGATTAACCATGTTTATCCGCTCCTACTTCACACGACTCATTAAAAGTTAAATTGATTAAACAAGTTACGTCGTATTATCTGTTTATTAAACGGTTCGTGTTTTAATTTTTCATCTTTTATTAAATGTGTTGTGTATAAATTTAATTATGTTTTATTCATCACTCATTTAACTCGATATATAATTATTTAACCCGGCGTAATTGTCAAACTTGTTCATATACATCTAGGATTCAAAGGCACATATAAAGAAAGGCAAATGGGACTATATATTACCTATACCCAATAGATTTGACCGTCCAAATATGGCAAAAAATGGGTCCCACATGAACATAAGACACTTTTTTAGCCTAAGTGGGCTAGCCAGACGAGCACAATTTTTTTTGGCTCATTAGGTCTGATAACCGACCAAAGCTTTCAATGGACGGAGTCTATCAAACTGGTCTATTCTGACGTGCATGCAAAATTGCTAGCAATGCATTCAACGTGTTGTGTTATGTTTCGTTACTTTATATTAAATTTTTATTTTGATATTGTGTTAATCATAAATTACAGAATTAGTAGTATCCTTTTCTCTCCCAATTATTAAATCCATTAAAAATAGGCTTTTCATAATTAATATTTTGCTTAATCTAAATCCTAACAAAATCAATTCAAGAATTATTTAATTTTTCAAAAAATGCATATAATATTAGTTTAAAAACTCATAAGTTTTGTTCAATATCATTAAATGTGTTTTTAGTGTCCAACACTATTCTAATACATTTAAGACTCTCTCTCTCTCCCTCTCACCAATATTTTTTACCACTTCAACGAGAATTGTTAGATGAGCAATGCTATTTGGATCTATTTGTCGACCTAATTTACTTGACCATGGATCCCATCAAATATTATAACTTGGTGTTAATTCAACGATTACAATGAAATTACTTCACTAAGTCA